TTCCTATTTCAAGTTCAATTTGCATTTACACCCAGAACACCAGTAAGTGACCTCATAAAATGCTGTGTGACTAAACAGGCAAGTCTTGGCGTTAGAACAACATGCCTGACACCCTGTTGAGGTGAATGTGGTGATTTACTGCCCTTGACACATTGTCTGCTTCTCAGCCCCCGATGGGGCAGGAGGGTCTGGGAGGCTCTCAAAGGACAGAGAGAGGAGGAACAGAGGTGTCGCTGGGATGGAGGTCCCTAGAGACACACTGTGCGGAAGGTCCTCCTGGCTGATGGTGGTTGGACCCGGGTGCCGTGGAGCCTTCTGGGAGGAAATAGAGAAATGGGCATGCTCAACTTTAAACGCAAGTTGGAAACAGGCCGACGGGAGAGAGACCAACGTGAAGACACCCACACTCGAGGTGGGCTGAAGTCTTGGGGAACGTCTGTACTGTGGGGAACGGGGAGTGGGTAGCTCGGCTTGTATTTCGGTGTCCACGGCACACTGCAGCAGCTCTGTGTTGGGCAGGACCCTGAGTATTCCTCTGGGCCACGGGCAGCCATGCTGGTGAAGCTAGTGAATGTGCCATCCCTGTTCTAGAGTTCCACCCAGATGGGGTCGCGGGGAGCGGACCCCGTTTGGAGCCAGAGAACTGCTGTGGAGACCTGACTTGGCAAACAGCTAGTTAGCTGACCCCAAGCCTCAGGATGACCACCAAGCCTCTCCAAGCCTTTCTTCCTCAGCAAAATGGTGCTAGTTGCTGGTCCGTGGCTCCCTACCTCACAGCCTTATGGTTGAGATGATGTAAGAGGTGTGTAGGATTGCAAACTCCTTTGCACGTAGTGGCCTTCATTCTAGCGGGAAGTGCATGCATTGGAGCACCCAGCTGGAGCCCAGAGGCTCTGGAAGGAGGGCCTAGCTTTTCCAGAGTGCTCTAAGGGGAAGAGGATGCCTTTGGAGGCAGATAGACCTGGGTTGGAATTCTGATTTCTCTCTGAACCGGTTTCCCATCTGAAAAATGATGATGATAATCCCTGCTTTGTAGGGTAGTTGTGAGGGTCAATTATTTCATTGAAGACTCCTGGGTTAGGGCCAGGCACATAGTCAGTTCATAATTTTACTTACTCAGGCCAGTGTGTGTTTATTGTACCCACCTATTGTGTACAATCTGTTTAGTGGAACCAGATACATTTCTAGGCACCAGAGATATAAGAGTTTCATGCATTCTAGTTGGAGAAGAAAGACAATGGATACATAAATACGTGATATGTCAGGCACTAAGGATGTTGGGGAGGGTGTAGGATGAGGGTATAGAGATTGCTGGGGTTGTGGCTTCCCTTCCAATCAGAGGGGTCAAGCGACGTCTCTCTGATAAGCAGAGCCTGAAGCAAGTGAGGCAGTAAGTTAGTTGGGAAGAACATTCTGGAAGAGGGAGCATAAACATCAAGACCCTAAGGTGGGTGCATGGGTAGGGTCCAAACTCCAGAGGTGGGGAGCCCAGGGGGAGGAAGGAGGCTTGAGAGCTAAAGAGGCCACACCAGACAGGCTCTGGAAGCCTTGTGAGGATGGTGGCCTTTCCTCTGCATGAGAGGAGGACCCTGGAGCAGAGGCTTGGTGGGATCGGAATTAACATGGCAAAGGGATTGCTCTGGCTGCCATGGCTCTCATATTGCAAGGGGCAAAGGCAGACACAGAAGCAGGCAGGGCTACGGCACAGTCCTGGAGAGGGAGGACGGCTGGATAGGGGGCAGGGGGCAGCAGAAGTGGTGGGAGGAGGGGCTTGGCTTCCAGGTGCATTTTGGGGCTAGAACCGCCCGGATTTGCTGATAGACACTGGCAGGGCATAAGAGCAGCGTCAGGTGTGGTTCTGGGCTCTGAGCACGGAAGGATGAGCAGCTGCGTCGTTTACCAGGGTGACTGATGGCTACGAGAGAACATTCTGGCTGGGGTGGAGGGCAGAGGTGACATCAGCAGGCCACTTGGTGTGCATTAAGGGTGAGAAGCTATGGGACATCTAAGCAAAGACAGCGCACAGACCGTTGGCTAAACCAGCTGGGAGGTCAAGGCTCAAGCCCAGGCAGGAGCTGGAGAGTTAGGCTGTGGATATCGGTTTAGACATCAGCATGGTGAGGCAGTGACAACAGCGAGCTGGCTCCCATTACACCATGCTCGCTCTCCTCCTCCAGGGAGTTCTCCACCCTATCAGCATCTAGGCAAGGTCCCAGCAGGATGCAGGCTCACAACTGAGGGCTATACAGCTGCACATTCCCAAGAATTCTCTTGGAAGCATGAAGCCAGAAAGGGGTGGTCTGAGTCTAGGATGACAGAGCTGCTGTGGGGTGCCCTCAGGCAGTTTCTCTAAGGGGGGCTCTGCTTCCAGGACATGCTTCCCCAGCCAGCCCCCACCTGGGCAGGGAGCCTCCTGTGGGCGGGCCTATCTTTCTTTACAAGTGGACAGAGGACACATCTCTTGAAAAACCATAGGGGAAACTTGATGAGAGGAATGAAAGCTCGCCCTTCGATGGGGGTTGCAGACCTCAGGATTTAGGCTCCTGGCTGGAGTGGCTCAGAGACCCAGGACAGTGTGAGGAAACGCGCCCAGACACAAACACATCAATAGGTGTATGCAGTGCACATAGCATGTTACGTGTGTCCATGTAGCAATAGTGGTAGTGAACTGACAACCCTCTCCCTGACACCTCCACGCCTCCTGAGGTGGCCAATGTCAATTCCTCATAGTGACATATCCAGGCACAGACAGGTTGTTTTAAAAAAATGAGTGCTATGGTGTGTGTGTGTGTGTGTGTGTGTGTGTGTAGCCCAGACTGGAGTCCAGTGGCAGCTCATAGCCACTACAGCCTCAACCTGCTAGGCTCAGGCAATCCTTCTGCCTCAGCCTTCCAAGTAGCTGGAACTACAGGCATGTGCCACCACGCCTGGCTAATTTTTTTTTCAACTGTAGAGACGAGTCTCACCATATTGCGCAGGATGGTCTCAAACCCTTGGGCTCAGGCTATCCTCTCGCCTCTGCCTCCCAAAGTGCTGTGATTACAGGCGTGAGCCACTGTGCCCGGCCTACGAGTGCTATCCTAATATCACATTCCTCTATATCTTTTTCTTTCATTTAAAAATATATCCCAGGAATCCCTCAAGCCAATAGAGATATGTCTGTCATTCTTCTTAACATCTGCAAAATACTTAATAGTCTGTGTGTATCTTAATTTTATCAACTATTTCTCTGTTAATGGACATTTGAGCTGCTTCCAGTTTTTCGCCACAATGATTAATGCTGTGATACTCTCATACATGTGTCTTGTAAAACTGATGCTTTTATTATTGTCACATGGAGTCCCCAAAGTGAAATATATTACCCAAAGGAAATAGAATAATCCAAAGTCATGTAGGGTCCTATTTGGTCACATTCATAATTTTTTTAGTGAAATTTCAGTTCTATGGCCTTATGGTCAACAGAACAGACAGAGACGCGTGTGGTCTATATGCAGGCAGGTGGGCACTGCTCCCCATGCCCAGAGTTGCCCTGTCCCTGTGCTCCATGCTTGCTGGGCCCCTCAGCTGGTTTTAATTCCCCACAGAGCTTTGGCCAAAAGCAGCTTGCCCAAGACAGGGTTCACTTAGGTGTCTCACATGAAGGGGGACCAAAAATACCTGGAATTATCTTTTGAAGGACAGGTCCCTTGTGGTCCAGGCTTCCCCAGTTAGGTGACTGTTCTAGGAACCCATCTGTATCAGTGGACTAGCTAGAGTTGTGAGAAGCTGCGTTCAGCTTCAGTGAATTTTTTTTTTTTTGGAGACTCTTTCAATGTGTTTGCCCATTTCATCATGGGTGATTTACAAGCACCTGCCCACACTGCGCTGATTGTTCAGCAGTTTTTGACCAAAAACAGTATGACCTCCGTGCCCCACCCTCTTATTCACCTAGTCTCATCCCAAGCAACTTTTTTTTTTTTTTGCTTCCCAGGATGAAAAAAGTCCTCAAAGGGAAACTTTTTGCCAATGTGGAAGAGGGGAAACAAAAAATTGCAGAAGCACTAAAAGCCATCCAAATTGACTCATTCAAAAGCTGTTTTGAGCAGTGGAAAAAGCATCTCGATAGGTGTATTGCATCAAAGGGAGAGTACTTTGAAGGTGCCTCAAGTTTAAACATGTAAGAATAAATACACAATTTTTATAAATAAATTCCATCTTTCTTGCATCTCCCTGTGGAGCTTCTCACCCTTAGCACACACAGAGTATACTCTGATGTCACCTCGGTCTTCCACCCCCAGTCAAAATGTTCTCCTATAGTCACTGGTCATCCCAGTAAACAACGCTCTAACCAAAACATCTGTACATGACACAGCCCCGTCCCCAAGGGGCTGCAGCTTTATTATTGGACCAGACAGTCATTCAGGAGCCAGTGCTCAGCCCCTTCCAAGGTTAACTACCTCCTAGCCAAAGGCTGTGGCTTCTGCACAGGCCAGGAACTGTGTGTTCGGGCAGATGACAGATCTCACGGTTCACTCCTACATTGCCATGTCTACAGCAGGCCCCACGAGGCTGGTTTGGCCATGCTTTCTCTGGTAAGAAAACCAACTTGGAAGGCTGGTGTTTAGGTGTCCCTTTCAAGGTTGGGAAAGAGTGGTGCTTTCACCTGTCATCCATCTGATCCCTCCCCCCTCACTGTTCAGTAGCACAAGCATCCTTGGTGGAGCAGGGGTGTGGATGGCTGGAGCCTGGGTGCTCCAACTTAGAACCCTGAAGACACAGAGCTCCAGTGCCAGCTCCTGCCCATAGCATCCCAGGGGATTCATCCACAGCTGTGAGTTGTGGGTGTGTCTGTGTTGCTTCCTAATTTCTAAACTTCATTACCACCTCCCAAACTCATACAGCCTTTGCACACAGTAGTTACTCGGCAATCGGTCAATGACTCTTGGCTGAGTCAGACCCTGAGGCCCAGAGCCCCCTGGGGCCCGCCCTACTGGTAACATCCAAGGCCCCGTCCTGCCTACCTTCACGGCCTTGGCTCTGCTGATGATCCCGTCGTCCTGAGAGGTCCCGATGAGCAGATCGACCTCCTCCCGTGGAAACCGCTGCAGCGCTCTGGCTGGAGCCTCGTGGAGGTACTGGCCATCGACCACCGGACCCCAGTAGTGGAAAGGGCCGCTCACGGCGAGGAGCTGTGTCAAAGGCAAACATGGTACCAGAATAATCAGTGACACTGCTTTGCTTCATGAGGTCTTAACCAGAGCGGACACGAGGCCGGTTATCTTTCTGGGGCTTTACTGGGAAACAAGGTTACAGTGACCAGAGCAACAAGCAGGTGGGATGTCGGGCAGCAGTGCCAGGGCTCACTGGCAGCAGTGGTGGTCCCTAGGGCAGCATTCCAGAGCCTTCTGCTGAGGGAACTTGGGGGTCCCAGGGCGGGGAATGAGCGAGCCTGAATCTGTCGGGGGGCCAGGAAGGTAGGGGGAGATAGGGTTTGAAGCAGAGGTGGTGACAGGTGAAATTAACCAGCGGTAGTCACCATCAGATGAGCCTCACAGAGGGGGCTGAGGAAAAGCCCACCCGAAGGCTGAGAGTCTGAACTGGTTGCCGAGGGGATGGAACAGCCAGTTAAGACAACAGTTACTCTTGCTAGTGTCCCCTGCATTCGTGTCAGGGCCAGCCAGAGGAGGCTTGGGCTGTGAGCAAGGTCTGTGAGGGCGAGGAAGGGAGCACAGGATTGCCCTGCTTAAGGGAGGGATGTGGCCCAAATCCCTTGTTCATGTGCGAAGCCATGTCTGTAATGTGCAACATGTATGGCTGTGACAAACCGAGTGCCCACCCTGGTCCTGGTGAGGGCAAGACACATGTGCTATTTCATGGCATCCCCTAGGCTGTAAGGCCTGCCTCAGTCGCGCTGTGTTAGGCGTCTGTCTACCCTCAGTACCCAGATTGGTTCATTACAAATTGCAGCCCACGCACAGTGCTTGGGGCCAGGGAATGAGCATTCCAGCTCCAGGTTGGAGGGCTCGTGGCCCCTTTCAGGCCTTGGCTTTCCATGTGTGAAAGGGCAGAGAATGTTCGAGCCCAAATTGCACACAAGTGCCCACCTTGGTCTGAGCGTCGTTGAGGGCCTTGGCTGGCTTTTGACGGAGGCAGGACACTGCTTCTGGGATGGATGAGACAGGGCAGCCGACCTCCCTCGCCAACACTGCTGCCTGCTGCCGGGCCCGCTCGTGGCTGATGACAGCGGCCGGGGAGAGGGCAGAGCCTCCCTGGAAGAGAGAGCAGGCTCAGAACTGATGGTCTAAATGGCATCTGCCTTCTGCTCAGTCCAAAGACCTCAAGGCCACACAGGGCTCAGGGCTGATGGTCTAGACGGCCCCTTCTCCCTGCTCAGCCCGGAGACCAGAGTCACAGCTCTGCATCCTTCTTCCACATGTAGGGGTCCCAGGACCCTTCGAGGGATGCACCAAGTGGGAGGTCAGAGGTCTACCCACCTGTGAAGTGAGGGAGCTAGACAAGGTGACCTTCAGCTGTGCAGCTAAACTTGTACATAGAGGCAAAGGGCTGATGGCTGATGGGTTTTAAATTGGACAAAGATCAGAGAAATCCTCTGGGAAGAGAACTACAGAGTCAGGAGCATGCCCACCACCACCTCCCGGGGCTCCTTCCATGTGATATGGCAAACTTTCTTGGCTCAGTTCAGATGGAGATGGGCATTAAAGCAGGTGCCCACCTGGAGGTTGATGAGGACACAGCGAATTGTTCCACCAAAAAGCCAGTGTAGCCTTTGCTAAAACGACAGGTTCCCAGGAGCATCGGCTTCCTGAGGATATGCGTGGTGGCACCTGGCTCCTGGGAGGTTGGCCTCTGCCCAGACAATCAGTGGGATCCACCCTGGTAGCACAAGTCAGCTACACAGATCTGACCCATGAGTGATGTCAGAGCACTGCCTCTGGGGACCACTCTGCAGCTCAGATACCAGCTGCCCACTGGAGCACCACAGGTGGCGCTGCTGGTGATCCCGGTGCCACTGCCCTTACTGGTGCTCCTCCCACCAACCGCAGTAATGAGTGCCAAGCTTTCTCTTCTTTAACACATCTGGTCCTCAGGGCAACTATGTAGGCTGGTGGCTGTAACGGGCCCATTTTACAGATATGTAAGAGGCAAAGCCAGGATCTGACCCCGGCGGCCAAGCACGTAGCAAGATTGTCTTTAGCTATAAAAAGCAGGAGCTCCTGACATGGGGAGGAAGTGGTTGAAGGCGCGGGCCACAGCGAGACCGTGAGATGCTTAGAGAACTTTCCTATCTCTTCAAGTATTTTGTTTGAATCGATCTTTCTAAAGAAATCTCTTTCTCCATGGAAAGTTGATGGTTAAGCAAAGCAGTGGTGGCCCAGCCCTCATTTTAAAGCACTGGATTGGAGATACAGAGCCAGGGGACAGGAGGGAGGGCCTGGGCTCTGGGCAGAAGGACCCAGCCCCTACCCCAGCTCTGATACTTGGCAAGGCAGTGACTTGGGCAAGGGACAGTTGTGAACGGGCCATGGTACAAATGCATGAGGCCACCTGGCTGAAATAGACCACTGTGGTATGGTGCGCACTGTGTTAGCGCCTTGGGTCTCATGGGACCCTGCAGGAGTAGCGGGATCAGATCTTTTCCGTCTGTCCCCCCCCCCCCCCCCCCCCCCCCCCCGTGCGGACTGGGCCGCAGGCCAGGGCTCGGGCTTTATCTAAATCTGATCTAGCCATCAAACGGCAATGAGTTTCCGCTGGCTCTTGTGTTTTATTTTTTTCTTAATTTTAAAAATAGTACAGGCAAAAACCATACTTGCTGACCACGGCACTTTCTTCCTGGAGTCAATGAACATAGGGAGGTGCATGGACCTTGGTTACCACCGTAGACATTGTGAAGCCAAGACCTGCCCTGGCCAGCACACACATGGTCACACACAGCACAGGTGGAGATTCACACTTATACACACAGACACACACAGTCACAGATGGAGACACACACAGAGAGACACACAAGCACAGACAGAGAAACACACATACACAGACACACACAAACACAGATAGTCACAGAGACACACACGTGTACAGAAGACGCACAGTTACAGAGATACATGCTTACATGCACAGGCACACATAGGCACACACTCAGACACACACACATAGACACACAGACAAACAGTTACACTCAGACACTCAGAAATACAGACACAGACAGAAACACACACACAAACACTAGAAACACACACAGTTATAGAAAGGAACACACATACATAGACACAGATGTAAAGAGACATACAGACACACTCAGACACACTCACACACAGATGCACACACCTGCCCTTCTTGAAATGAACACTGTGTTTCCCAGGAGGGGTTCCCACAGGTCTTTGATGGAGACGGCACCACCGAGCAAAGCAACACGGTGTAGGGAGCTTCTGGGACACACAAAAGGCTGGCCATCCTGCTCTGTAAGCCCGCCTCCCGGGTGTCTCCTCTGTCTCCCTCCTGGGCCCCTCACACTTCTCAACTCCTTCCTGGAACATGAGTCCACATCTACTAGGTGGGGACAGACACCTACTTTCTACTTCACTGGGAAAGGGAACAGACAGGAAACTTAGTGTCTGCCTGGAATCCCACTAATTCCTGAAAAGCCCTCACAGCCCTGCACACAGACATACTAAGACAAAAATCGACATCTAAATAGCACTTACTGGGTGCTGCGCCCTGTCCAAGGGCTGTGCACATGACAGCTCATCTGTATCTCAGAACAGCCCTGAGAGGTGGGCACTAGGATTAGCTCAGTTTTAAAGGGACAAAACTCTAGAGCAGAGATGAAGCCACTTGCCTGGGCGCTACAGCTGGGAGCAATGGAGCCAGGATTTGAACTCAGGAGGTGGGCGCCAGAGCTCTGTATCCTAACCACCAGGTGCCATATGTCTCATGTCTGTGGTGGTCAATCCCTCTCTGTTCCTGTGAGAATGTGAGGCCAAAGCAAAGGACAAAGACCATGGCTCTGGGCCCAGGCAGACCAGGGTTTCAGTCTCAGCTCTGCCCACGAAAGTTTTGCCAATTCACTTGGTATTTCTGAGCTTCTGCTTCCTAATCTGTAAAACGGAGCTATTATGGCCAACATTCACATTGCTGATGTACAGATGAAATGAGATAATGGATGTAAAATACCTAATACGTAATTTTCACTCGATAAAAGTTAATTGCAATTATTATTAGGAATAGTGTTTTCCATAGGTCTAATTCCTACAATGTAACTTCTTATCCTGGTTTAAAAAGTCATGGAATGAAACCTGTCATAACAAACCAGGCTCACGGGGAGTGAGTCCCTTGAAACCTCTGTCTTGGAGGCCAACCCAGGCTCACACCCACGCCTCTACTTGCAAAGTAGAAGTGGAATGGGCACAATACATGAAGTTAGGATCAAGTAGGAAGGCCTTTTTTGGGAGAGATTCTCTGCTGCTCAGAACCTGAACCCAGGTGTTCCCCTCCCAACCCAGGGCTTCTCCCTACTTCTCCTGGGAGAAACCAGACGCATGACTCCCAAGCCCTGACCTGTCATTAGGCTTCTAGAGAAGTAACTCTCTCTTGCTGGCTTACTGAATGGACTGAAATCAATGGCCAAGTATTATCTGAGAGGTATCAACCCCGCAAATGTTTCAAACTCTGTTTTATTCCAGGCAAAGTGAGTCACGAAGAATCAGTCCCAAACCCCAGTTAGGTGAATGCTTTTTGAAAATACAAACTATCCAGAAGGACACACATGCAAGTGGACTAAAGATGACTCTATGACCAGGGTCAAAGGAACCAAGAATCCTTGTGTGCTGGGAATTCAGAGGACATCGGGATTTCCAGGCACAGGGTGGCCCAGAGGAAGCTGCAGAAAAGCCGTAGGACTTGCATGGACTTTGAGGGGGAATGGATGGGGAAAATGGGGTGGGTGATCTCTCCCAGGGGCTATGCAAAAAAGCTGGAGATAGGAGCTAGGTCTTCAGTATCCCAGCATCCAGACAGGGCCTGGAACACAAAAATATGTATTGCATGAGTGAGTGGACGACTATATGAATGAGGGAGTGAATGAATGAATGAATGAATGGGTGGATGGACCAATGACTTCTGAATGAATAGAGGACTTTTCACAAAGGGGTAGTAAGGAATAAAGTTCAGAGAACATTAAATCCTGGGCTGAGCAAGAGATACAATTTACAAGGCGCTAACCAGGGGACACAGCCCAGGTATCCTATAGGCGGGGAAGAATCAGTAAAGGGCTTTGAAGGGTGTTACAAAAGTATTGAGGAGTGTCACTGGGTCATTTACCTTTGCAACATCCATGCTGGGAAAGGTTCATTGCACTCAGTAAGGCCCTTGGTGAATGCCCCAGCCTTGATACCTCCTGAGTATGAGATCTGATGGGCAGGGATTGTGAGATGGCTATTCCTTTGCCCCCAGAGCCCCGCTCAAAGCATGGTACATGGGAGGCCCTCACCAGTCATGCATGGGGCAGAACTGAGCTGGAATGATGTGAGATGGTGACTTGACCAGCTGAGTGTGGGATGTACTGAAGAGGGGAGTGTCCGGGGCAGGGAGACCAGAAGTGACTGGTATGGTCTATGGATGAAGGGATGAGGGTGTGATCCAGAGTGCCAGGGCCATTGCCATGTCCACTCTCCTGGGAAGGTGCCACCAATATGCCGTGGACCAGTTGAGTGTGGGATGGATTGCAGAGGGGGGTGTCTGGGACAGGGAGTCCAGTAACAACTGATATGGTCTCTGGGTGAAGGGAGGAGGGTATGATTCAGAGCACCATGGCCACTCTCCTGGGAAGGTGCCACCAATATGCCGTGGACCGGTTGAGTATGGGATGGGCTGCAGAGGGGGGTGTCTGGGCAGAGTCCAGCAGTGACTGATAGGATCTATGGGTGAAGGGAAGAGGGTATGGTTCAGAGTGCCATGTCCACTCTCCTAGGAAGGTGCCACCAGTGTGCCGTGAACCAGTTGAGTGTGGGATGAACTGTAGAGGGTTTTGTCTGGGGCAGAGTGTCTAGCAGCAACCGGTATGGTCTATGGGTGAAGGAAAGAGGGTGTGATTCAGAATACTATGCCTATTCCTCTGTACTGACCTCTCCTGAGAACCCACCCAAACCTGGGAGGTGCCACCAAAGTGTCATGAACCAATTGAATGGGTGCATGCTTTTGGGCAACTGGGACAACTCAGAAGATAACTCTGGAAACAAAAGCAAAGATACAT